TCAGGAATATCACCCAGATATTCCTGTAAGTCTGGGAATAGAGAGGAGAAGGACACTTGACACCACTTAGCTGAGGGGTATTCCAAAAAAAAAACTCAGTAAAACGCTCCATCTCAAAAGCTGGCCTAGCCCCCAGCTGATTTCAGGGCATGAAGAAATATTCCCATAGAACCCACACCAATTCTTCATCCATTTCCACAATATTTGGAAAAGATTTCATGAAATTCCGATGCTGCTGCTTGGGTGAGGTGGGAGATTCCATTAAATGTTATTTCAGCAAACCCAGGAGAATTTTGGAGTTATTCTTGTCATTTTTGAATTTCCCAAAAGCTGCAGATGTCCCATTGCCACCCCTCACCTGGTTATCATCCCGATCCATGCTGGTGTCATCCCTTTTCAGGATAAACCTCTGAGGAAATTCTGCATTCTTCTCATCYTTGATGTGCTCAGAGAACCTCTGCTCGGGGCTGCAGGAAAATCAGGCCTTGTTAGGAAGGAAAAATGGGGCCCAGAACAAGCCAAGGTGGTTTTTGGGTGAAATCTCAGCTCTGGTTAAAGGCAATAAGAACTCCTGCCCCTTTTTCTGGGATTATGGAGAGCCAGGGAGGGCTGGAAGGAAAAAATTCTCCCCTATTCATTCATTCCATGACTCTGAGAGGGATCTGAGACTCTAGAGAGGGATTTCCCCTTCTTATGAGGTAAAAAAAAAAWYTTRTGAGGTAAAAAAAAAATGTGGTGTGGAAGGCATCCTGCTAGGGAGCATTCCTGGGGTGTGGGGAAAGGAAAATGGGGGAAAGAAAGTGGGGAGAAAGGGGAAAAGGGGGTGGGAAGGGGAAAAGAAGGGGAAAAGAAGGGGAAAAGAAGGGGAAAAAAAGGGGAAAAAAAGGGGAAAAAAAGGGGGAAAAAAGGGGAAAAAAAGGGGAAAAAAAGGGGAAAAAAAGGGGAAAAAAAGGGGAAAAAAGGGGAAAAAAGGGGAAAAGGGGACCTTACATTCGTGTGTTACTGGTCTTGTTGATGATCACGGCCTTCCCAGTCTGATCCACGTTGTGATCCATCCCAAAATAGGCAGCGACCCGGTGGAGCAGCATCCGGTGGTACGAGGTCATCTGGGGAAACTTCTTGAACTGATTGCTGGGAAGAGGGGGAAAGGGTTGGAATTCCAAGCAGTCAGGATGTACAGAACAGGTCTCTGTGTCCTAAAGACATCCCTTTGTCCCCAAGGAGCCCAAATCCCTGAATTCTACATCAAAAACCGTTTTTTTTTTAAGACAGAAATTCAATGATCACTTACTTGTTATCACTAATGAACTCCAGAATCTCCTGTTCCAACTTGAGCAGCATCATTCTATCCCTGTCAAGTGAAAAAAAAAAAAAAAGGAAAAGGCCACTTTAGAGACAGTGGAACAGCTTTCTCTGCTCCCAACCCTTCTCCTGCAGCAGAAAAAGTCACAAACGCTCAGAGCAGGTGACACCACTGACCTGATTTCACACGTTCATCACGGGAAATGGGCTAAAAAAACTCCCTGCTTTTCAAATATACTAAATTAATCRCCAGACTTTTTCCAGTTTGAGGTTGTTTTGCTTACAGGGCTTGGCTCTGGAGAGTCTGAATCCCTGCTCTGCCAAAAGCTCCACTGGTGGAGCCTCCAGCTTTGCTATTCCCATGCCAGCTTTTCCCTCAATTCCACTGATTATTCCCACAGTATCTCCTTCACAGGCTGATATTTGACAATCAGTTATAGAAAAGGGTTCCAAGCATATCTAAATCATTTCATTGGATTCAAACGAATTATTTGCCCTTCTCTCTCTCCATCACACACAATTCCATGCTTGGAATTAAACAGGATATTAAAATTACAGTTGTGTTTTTRGTTTCTATACCATCCCAGCTCTGGTAACTCTGGGAATTCTGAAGAGGAAAACACAAAAACACCTTGGAGGTGTTGTCTGGAGGTGCTGTAATTTCCCAGGTCCACACAGACCCCAGAAATGTCAGAGTGACCCTCTCACCACCCCCTCAGGGAGTTATTTTACTGAGCAGGACCTACCGTGGGTTTTTTTTCAGTGTATTTACTAAAAATTCATGCAAATCTATTCCAGTGGAGTCTGTGTATTCCTGGCTGGAATCTGAAAAAAACCAACAAGGGCAGCAGAACAAATGAACAAATCAGTGAAACAGCACGGAGGGAAGGGAAGGGAGGAGGAGGAAGGGAGAAGGAGGAAGGGAGAAGGAGGAGGAAGGGAGAAGGAGGAGGAAGGGAGGAGGAGGAGGAAGGGAGGAGGAGGAAGGGAGGAGGAGGAAGGGAGGAGGAGGAAGGGAGGAGGAGGAAGGGAGGAGGAGAGGGTTCTGTCTCTGTGTTTTGTGTGTGTGAGGATGATATTCCCACATTTCCCAGCCTAACCCAGGCATTAAGCACATTTTTTTCCAGGACCAGCACACCCAGAAAAGCACCCCAAGGCCCCGTTATCCTGCAGGCCCTGGGGAGCCTCCCTGGACTGTGCTTCCCCTCTTCCCCCACACCCTTTTTCATTTAAAAATCATTGCAGAATAAAACAATGAAACTGAATCAGTGCCAGCACGGAGCTGCCCTATGGGGATTTTGTGTGGAATTCATTCCCCGGATCCAAGAGGTCTCTTTTAGGCATTTTTATAACCCAGGAACCTATGAATTTGTGAGGAATGTGTCAGCCTGGAGGATCCCCACTGCCAGAGGGCAGGGATGGATGGGATTTTGGGAAAAAATAGCATTCCCAGAGCAGGTGAGCAGCACCTGATCAGTCCAAACCAACACCTGACCAGTCCAAACCAGCACCTGACCTCGAGAGAGCATCTTCCTTGGCGTTTTTTCTTTATTCTTGTCTTTTTCTTCTTTCTCCACCCCATCTTTCGTGGATTTYTCCTCTTCCTTGTCTGAGGGGCAGCTCACGTGAAGCTGGATGATGTCCTGGGATAAAACAAARGAGGTTGGAGTCCCCCTGGACACTTCCTGGAGATGTTGGTGGCTGAGAGAGGCACCACAGGAAGGTCTCAACCAGTTCCTGGGGGAATTTCTTGGCCCCAAAAAGTACAGGAGAGCAAGATATGGATCATATTGAGCAAAACATGGATTTTCTGGGCTTCCACATTCCCAAATTTATCTCATTTTGGGCTTACCTGAGACTCCAGCAGCCCATCCACAAAGGGGCCCGAGGATTCCTCACACACAGCCAAACTCCTGACCAGTTTAAGCTTTGAGTTGGACTGAAAAAGGGAAAGAAAGAGAGTGRTTACAACACCTCAGCCAAAAATGCACCTGAATTCCTGCAGATGCATTCCCATGGCACTTAATTAAATATTCTCCATTAAAATGCTCAATCAGAGGGATACTCTCCTAAATATATAATAATGAGTTATTTTATTCTTTCAGCCTTTGAACCAAATTTTAGGTGAGAATTTCCCTGCCTTAATTCCTGCACTCCCTGACTTCCAACTTTTATCCTGTTAGAAAGGAGCACTGGAATGGAAATTCCTGTCCTGGAAATGGACAGGACATAAAAATTCCATAAAAATTCCAAATGGACAGGACAGGACATAAAAATTCCATCATCTGCTGTGAGTGGCTTTTGGGAAAGGCTCAGGAGAATCAGGGCTCAGCTCAGAGCAGCCCAAAAAATGTTGGGGTGTCAGAGAGGTCCTACCTTGGCTCTTTTCCTGGCGTGTCCGTGACTCGATGTTCGCTTCTGTGGAGAGAGAAAAGGGAAGGCAAGAAGCTTAAACTGGAAGTTTTCTGCCATTCCTGGGATGCAAAAGGAGATTGTGACAGAAACGCTGCTGCTCTGTCTGAGGAGGCACCCAAAAAATCTGTCCCAGTTCAGGGTCAGGCTCTTCCTGCTCAGCTCTGGGTTTGCCCATGCAGCTGTGAGCACATCTGGAGGATGCTGAGGGTGCTTCAARCACCACGAGCAGCCAAAAGCACAGGTGGCAGGAGAGCAGAGCAGTGGGAATGAGTCCCAGCAAAAATGATGCTTGCGCTGAGGTTTTTTTTTTTCCCTTATTGAAATGAAATCCCAAAACATTCCCGTCCTATTTTTAACCGAAGCAAAGCAATAGTCGAGCAGCATTCCTGAAACCCAGCTCTCCCTGGATGCCTTCATTTGACATGAAGTCATTAACTCATCCTTAGATCAAAGAAAGGAGTAAGAGGGAGGTGACAGCCCTGGCACCAAAACCCGGGGACGAAGCACGAGCTTCCCCAGGGAATATTTCAGTTATTCCACTCCCGGGCTCAGGGAATATTTCAATCACTCTGGCCAGGATAGATCCASCTAAGAGGAAGGGAACAAGCTGGGAATGTGCAGGAAAAAGGGGAGCACAGGTTCTGGATTTTTTGGGAAGGGATGGGAAGCAGCAGGTTCCCACACTCACCTGAGACTCCTGGCGCACGCTGACCTCCTCCCCTCCATCCTTCTCCACCTCCTCTTTGCTGGGTGACCTGGATACATATTTGGTTTTGTTCACAGATTCCTCCACCACCTTTTTTTCAGATTCCTTCATAATTTCCAGGGACTCTTGTGCCGTGTTGCTGTTGGACATCTTCAGAGCCCTCCGACGCAGCGAGGGGCACCTGTAGGATGAGGGATAGGATGGGGGGGTCAGGGGGTGCACAGAGGTTTTTTTCTGGACACAAATTCTTGCACGTGGAGGTTGTGATTTCCTGTGGAAACTGAGCACTTGGATCAAGCCCACCCATTCATCCCCTGGGTGCAGCCCCAGCTCAAAGGATTTTCAGCAGGATTTTGGAGCTGCCAGGGCTGGACAAAGTTCCTGAGGTAGACAAAGCAGGTAAGTGATGGAGAGGGAGACTGAGGACAGCTCTGAACAAGCAAACATCCCACAGGTGAAATGAATTCTGGCAACCAGGGCAAATCACCACAAAAAAAAAGCTGCATTTCCCCAAATCCCARCTCAGTTCTTTTCAGAATGAGTCAAATCTTCAGTGAGAAAACAGCTCTATACCCCAAACATGCTCTGTGAGATAAGATAACCCAAATATTTCCTCTTCTTCTGGTCACATACTTCAGGAAAAGTGGGACATTAAGACAAAAATTCTTGATAAAGTTGTATTTAATTGCTTCCCTTTGATTAGCAAGAACCAGGCAGCCCACAGAGACCCTGAAAGGAATTCTGGATTATAGTGGAACCTGTACAAGGTAATGCTGAGAGCCTGGAAATGTCCAAGGGAAGGTTGGATGGGGTTTGGAGCAYCCTGRRATAGTGGAAGGTGTCCCTGCCMATGGGATGGGGTGGGACTGGATGGGTTTTAAGGTCCCTCCCAAYCCAAACCATCCCATGATTTTATGATTTCAGAGTCTGAGCAASGACTAAACCARMTCCACGTGGCTGTGGAGGGATGTGRCAGCAGGAAACACCTCTGGACAAACATCATTTCCAAAAAGAAAAAAAAGGGGGAGCCTAAATCTGAGAGAGGCTCAAACAAAACYCCTCAGACCAGAAAACACATCTGATGTTTAACAACTCATTTTCAATTCTTTCGGCACAAAGTCGGATTTCACGGAGATTTATCGACTCCTGACTCTGCACAGGAAGAGCTGATATTCCTGAACAATTCCCCTTTACTTTGCGGAGCTGCTGAACACAAAATATGTATTTGACATTTATGCAGTTACTGGAATTGGYTGCAGACACAGAAAGCAGGAGAATKCAGCGAGCTGCCTCTATCCCATRGATTTTTTTGGGGGGTTTGTAACAAATTTGCTAARAGACAGAGGGCAGGTGCTCTGGAAATGCCACATTCAGTGGGAAAAGGGGACAGGACTGACACAGGGAGGCAGCTCAGACACCTCAGCACTCAAGTGAAGCTGCTGCCCAGTCCAGAGCCACAGATGGGACAACCAGGAAAGGGAAAAGTTACTTAATTTTAAGTGGGTGGGAATTTTCCCCAGAAAATTCATTGGGAAAGGGTGCAGAGAAATCCTCCAGCTGCAAGAGCCTGTGCTCATCCCAGCAGGTTGGTATTCCCAGGGATGCTGAGCAGGGTGACGAGCCCAAAATGAGGGAATCCCACGCTGCTCTGACAGGAATTAGGTCAGGAAGGAAAAAGGGAAAAGGCAACGCTTGTCTGATGTGCYTCATTCGTGGGAGGATTGTGCAGGGGGTGAAGGTGGCAAACTCTGCCTGCCCCCGYCCCAAAACATTCCCTGCTGGAGGAAACTGCGGTTTAAATATTCCAAAAGGATCTGGAGCAGATTTGGGGAACGGAGGGTGGAGGCAGMACCGGAATTGCACACATGACACTCAAATAAAGGAGCAGGTTTTGTACAGCTCATTCCCCTTGCACCACCCACCCTTCTAACAAGCTTTTTCCCCCCAAGCCAAACACCTCGGCCAAATTTAAGGAGGATAACAGGATCTTTCCCCATCGTGTTGCAATGTAACTTCAGCATCACACGGGGAATGTGATCAGATTTCCCAGAAAAGACAACTCAGARCCACAGAACTGACATTTCTCAGCTGCCCCCTCCTGCTACAGCTTCCGTCCCCACCAGCCAGCCTCCAGGACATTTCCCTGCATACAAAATTCAGGCAAAATCTGTGCACTGCTGCTTTCCAGAGGAGGATTCCTTGCGGGATGAATGAATCAGCCCCGCTCCCTCGGGCAGCCGTGGGATGTAGAGAGGGGGTGGCAGACACGAGTGACGGTGACAGACAGGGTTTGTGGAGAGCGTGGAAGTTCAGAGGACTCAGGAGAGGGTGGGTGGGATTGAGCTGGGCCTTGGGAGAGATAAAAAAAAAAAATGACACGGATGCAGCACAAAATCTRTGTCAGGAAAGAGAAAAAGGGGGAGAAGGTGGAAGGGAGGAGGTGGGTGAGGTGTCGTTGCTGTTTTGGTTTGGGGACGGGGATTGGCAAAGCAACTGGGCCAGTGACAGCGGTGACTGGGCATACTGGGARTGCTGGCCAAGGGCCAGGGAGTCGGGACACATTTACATCCTCCTCCTCACTCCAGAAAGGAAGATGGAATTCCACCTCTGCTGCCTTCTTGCCACCCGCAGTTTGCAGCTGCTGAGCCCCGGGAATGCAGCAGCAGCAGCAGCTTCTGGTTGGGCAGGGAAAAAAAAAGCAAGAAAGTTCTGCATTTCCAGTTCAGATGGATCCGGCAGCAAATCTGGAAAAGGCAGGAAGCTCCTGCTAAATAAACTCTCTTCCTGGCCTTGTTTCTCAGGGAACAGACCCGCTCCTGAGCTAAATGAGGGTGCAAAGGAGACATATGGCTGCCGGGTGCAGCTGCCCACACACGGCTCCGGTGGTGCAGCAGGATGGAGGGATCTGAGGGGATGGAGAGATGTGGGGATGGAGGGATCTGAGGGGATGGATGGATGTGGGGATGGAGAGATCTGAGGTGGGGATGGAGAGATCTGAGGTGGGGATGGAGAGATCTGAGG